TGGCATTAAGATGGAACATGGAGTGTTATCTGACTAACATCTAGCAGCTAAACGTGTCTGGAAAATTTTTCAAAGGCTTTTATTTTCATAGACAGCACAGATGTGAATGCATTCGAATGTTCTGATTGGCTGGAGTAGACGTCTAGATCTAATTGTGAACGTGCTCTTTCTGGCAATTTCCTTCTGTGTTCACACAGAGCAGCATTCCGGCAAATTACAGGCAATGTTACAATTTCTCTTTCCAGAAAATTGCCAGCGTTTTCAAAAGGACCTGTTCACACATGATCCCTTTCTGGAAAATTGCCAGTAATTTTCCAGTAAGGGATCATGTGTGAAAGGGGCTCATGTTTTTGGTTCCTTTTCTTGAACATCTCAAGACTGTTGGAGGATGAGGGAGCTCTCAAATTGAATTTAAAGCATCTTCATTTGTGTTCTAAAGATGAACGAAAGCATCAGTGGATTGGAACAGCATGAGGGTGAGTAATTAAATACGACATTTTAATTTTGCATGAACTAATTCTTTAAACAATGTAAATAGTTCCATAGTAAAATACATGTAAGTTTTTTAATAAATAAAATGTTAAATACAACAAAATCCGTATCGTTTAATTGATATTCTGTTCATTATATTATAGTGTATTGCTACGTATGATAACTGTTGTTTTTATATTGCTGTGAAATGTATTTTGCAGTATAGAACTATTTTGTAAGGCGTTTTTTTTATTTTTATATATATATTCACACTACCAGTCAAAAGTTTGCAATCAGAAAGCTTTTTTTATGTTTTAAAGGAAACCAATTCTACTCAACAAAGCTGGATTTATTTGATCAAAAATACAGTAAAAACGGTTCAATAATGAAATATTAGGTCCCACTTTATATTAAGTGGCCTTAGCTAATATATACTTACATAGGAATTAATAGTTTGTTACAATGTACTTATTGTGTGAATACTTGTATTTACTGTGTACTTATGCTTGATTAAATACATGTATGTAATTACATCTGTAATTAACTTTTGTAACTACATTTGTAAATACACTGTTGACCATCCCTTACACCTTAACCCACCCTTAAACCTACCCATACCACCAAACCTGTCCATAACCCAACCTCTATCCCAACTCAAAAGCACCACAAGTATTCTCAAATACATTATAAACACAGTAAGTACATTGTATTTATTTTTTTGATGTAAGTACATGGTAGTTAGGGACACTTAATATAAAGTGGGACCAAATATTATTACAATTTTAAATAAGTTTTTTATTACATTTATTTTTACATTTTACTTGTTTCTGTGATTCAAAGCTTTACTTATTACCGTGATTCAATTATAAAATATTATTACAATTTTAAATAACTGTTTTTAAAAATTGAATTTATTTTTACATTTGACATATTCCTGTGATTGAAAGCTTTACTTATTCCTATGATTCAATTATGAAATATTATTACAATTTTAAATAACTGTTTTTTTTTATTTATTTTTACATTTTACTTTTTTCCTGAGATTCAATTATGAAATATTATTACAATTTTAAATAACTGTTTTTTATTTTTTTTTTTACATTTTACTTTTTCCCTGAGATTCAATTATGAAATATTATTACAATTTTTTTTACTATTACAAAGTTTTTTTTTTTTTTTGTATTGATTTTTATCAAATGTTACTTATTCCTGTTATTCAAAGCTGAATTTTCATCATCATTACTCCAGTTACTCCAGTCTTCAGTGTCACATGATCCTTCAGAAATCAATATGATGATTTGCTGTTCTATTATGATTTATTATATATTATGAAGGCACAAAATCACTAACAACAATTCTTACAATTACCAATGCTGAGATTTGTTTTTGTTTTGCTTTATAGTATTGTGGAAACTGATGCATTTACGTTTAGGATTCTTCGATTTAAAACAAAGTTAAAAATAATAGCTTTGATTTGCTTTTTTTTTTTTTTTTTTTTTAATTGTATTTACAATTGGGGGGTGTATTTATGATTATGATTAGTTTTCCAAACTGACAAGAACAACAGCAATAGATGTTTCTTCTTGAGCACATCGTTACGCGATACCGATCATTAATTATGCTTAAAATTTAGCTTTAAACCACGAGAATTAATAACATTTTAAAGTACATTCAATAAAATAACAACCATTAAACATTGCAATAATATTTCACAATTTAACAGTTTTTACTGTATATTTCATTGAATAAATATAGCCTTGTTGAGCAGAATAAGCTTATAAAACATGAACAGAATCTTTTGACTGGTGTCAAAGTGAAGCAATTAGACCGGAGAATTGTAGGTACCCTTTTTAATGTGTACAGGAAAACATTTCATTATTGCAGTTGAAATGATACAAGCATTATGTTAGATTTCATCTGACATCATTTGCATAATCTTATCAGTTGTAACAGAAATCTCAAAAATATGCTTAAACACTGAAGTGTGTGCTTTGGAAGAGGAATGATATTTAACAGTTACCGATACCGTAATACTGACATTACATAACCAACCAACATTGGAACGTTTTTCCAGATACTGGACTTCTTTGTACTAAAGTTGATCTTTAAAAAAAAAAAAAAAAGTCTGATAATAAATACTGTTGATGTACTGTTGATGTTTTTCTCACAGTTGCGACTTTAAGTCATAACTGCTGAGTTCTTCTTCCAAACTGTGCCTTTATATTTCAAAATTGTGTTACTACCTTCATATTAACTTATTGTGACATTCTTTCCTAAAATTCTGACTGCATCTCGTACCTGCTATTCGATATCTTCTTAGTTCTTGTAAACATTTTTTCTTGCAACTACGATTATTCGTTTCTTTTTGGTAACTCAGTCTTATGAACACCCTCGTTATAAAATAAGATTTTATTTGTGTTTGTAACAATTGTTAAGTGTCATTTGCTCAGTTATGCCATTTTTAATGCAAAGATGACACTGATGTTTTTATGACAACTTTACAAACAAATACATAGTTAATCTGTCAATAGCCCCTTTCACACAGTGATACCGGTAAATATATAGAAAATTTTGGAACGACTTTACCGGTAAATTAAAAAAGTGCTGTTCACACAGGCGAGGACGTTACGGAATTTTTCCGGAAAAGAGCATTCACACATCTATTCCAAAATACCGGTAATTCTGACATCATTAAACAGAAATGAGCTCTAAATGGCTGCGCTTGTATTTGTAAACATTTGACTACTTTACAAACTCTGTGGATGGATCAGTATTGTGGACAACTTCGATGAAAACATATAGAGAAACACTTTCGCATGTTGAGATGTAACTTACATGATATGTGTGTGTGCTGGCGCTCATGTTTATGGGCACACGCAAAGCTTGAAGGTAAACAAACAACGGCTTATCATAAGCATCTTATCGATAATTACACAGTTGGCATTAAGATGAACATATAAACGTTATCTGACTAATTTCTAGCAGCTAAATGTGTCTGGAAAAATATTCAAAGGCTTTTATTCTCATAAACCGCGCGGTCAGACGTCAGCACATTCTAGACGTGCACGTGCTTTTTCCGGCAATCTTCCTTTTGCGTTCACACAGCGCAGCATTCCGACAAATTACCGGTAATGTTACAACTTCTCTTTCCGGAAAATAGCCAGAACGAATTTACCGGTATTTTCAAACAGAGCCTGTTCACACATACACACCTTTGCGGAAAATTTCCGGCAATTTTCCGGAAAGGTGTGTATGTGTGAAAGGGGCTTTTGAAATGACAGTTTGACATTATTAGGAGAACAAAATCTGTCATTTTCTGTTATGACAATATGATATTACCAGGATGAATTCAGCATGAATTGTCATAAATCTGTCATAAACATGATAGTCAGAAGGCCATAGTATTTTTAGTAAAACTAAATTAAATTGACATTTAAATAGCTCATTAAAGCATCATTCGTTTTCTGGGGTCACCATTCGGGTCAACACAGTGGAATGAACCGCTAACTTATCCAGCATGTTTCATGCAGCGGATGCTCTTCCAGCTGCAACCCATCTCTGGGAAACATCCATACACACTCATTCACACACAAACACTACGGACAATTTAGCTTACCCAATTTACCTGTATCGCATATCTCTGGACTTGTGGGGGAAACCGGAACACCCAGAGGAAACTTACGCTAACATGGGGAGAACATCCAAACTCCACATAGAAATGCCAACGAACCCAGCCGAGGCTCAAACCAGCAACCTTCTTACTGTGAGGCGACAGCACTACCTACAGTGCCACCGCATCGCCCCACTCTGCATCATGTGTTGTACATAAGCAAGAGAAACGCAATGGTACTAACCATGACACTCTAAACACACATTAAATAGCACCTATGCATTTCTATACAATATAACATCCAAAAGGTCTATAGGTACATGCCTATGCATACTTTTGCTGTAGGGCAGAGCATATAGATTGCATACAAACACATTATATAACATTTGGAGTGAGTTTTGAGGTTTTTTCTTTAAATCTGGATTGGTATTGGAATGTGTGTGGGTTGCAAAAGCTGGGAGGACTGGGTTTACTCCATTTTCCCCCCCTTTCACCATCAGCAACATAGATTGACCAGCAATGGGTCCCCAGTATTGATTTGGCATCCTGGGTAAACAAGGTGTCACGCACGGCGATCTTTGGCTTCAGGAGCCAAAGCTCAAACGTCGAAACAGTGAGAAAAACGGTATTTAAGGTTAATCCCGTTCTTCAGCTATGGCCTGTATGTTCTGTATGCCTCTCATGATTTGTGACAAGTCATGTTGTCTTGGTAATATCAAGTTGTCATGACAAAGACATCTCCAGCAATGCCATCTTAGCATTTAAAATTACACAACTGAGCCAGTGACGTATTTTCTTGATGTGTCATGATTATAAAGGTTTCATGAACACCCCCTTCAAGTAAAGTATTATCATCCCATTGCAACATTAATTCTTGTAATGGTCACTTTGTTTGTAAGTTTGTTGTTATTTTTTTTTAATTACGATTAAGATCTCCTAATCCTAAAATGTTTTTAAAATTGTGAACTTGCAGTTTGGTAGCAACTAAACCTTGCAATTATGAAGTCATATCTTTAGATCTCCCTTTTTAAATGCAGCTTTTTCTCATTTAGCACTGTTTTGTTCATGAAGACATTACAAAACGACTTTAGACATCTTCCATTTTATCAGCAATGCACTTGAAATGTCACTGATATGCTGATTGAACAGATTTCTGACTGACAAGACATCACAATTACGTATAAAGCGCTTCCTTTTTACGCCCAGTGGCAGTGAAGATTAGATTAAAACACTGATGATGTAAATGACTAAACAAAACATCAGTAGGCATGAGAACAGTTTTTTGTGTCCTGCATATTCTGTATTTCCACGTAGAGGTGTTCAACCACAGGCCTAAACACAGCAGGTGTAGTCGATATGGCTTTTTAATGAGGTCCGAGTTCATCTTATTTAAGTATTGTGTGGTCCGGTGTCACCTTGATGCATTTGGCAGGGCGGGGCTCCGCATGCTAAAGGTGTCACCACTAGATGAGTGACGGGAAGGAGCCTTACCGCACACCAGAGATGGCTCGGCCTCTTTAATTTCCATTGCTCGCTTGTAGAGTTCAGCAGCCTTCTCGAAATCACCCTCTTCGTAACTGAGGAAGTAAGAGAGCGATTAGCATGGGGTATTTGCAATGTGGATGGTGGATAATAATATTTAAATTTTAAACATACTGCAGAATATTTCAATTAAAGGTGCAGTAAATGCTAACCGTTAACATTATAGCTTTGAGAAAACACTAGCTGCGTCCCAAATGGCACACTATACACTATGCACTCATGCGCTATGTACTTATGCACTTACACACTTAACAGGATAGTATATGTATGTAGTGGCGTCCCAAATGGCACACTAATGTTTTTTTACTAAGCGGAAATTCAAACCGTTTCCCTGATGACGTTTGACGGTTGCCAAATCAGTGAAATAAACGACCGAATTATCAAATAATACCTGCCGCGAGTAGCCTTTAGGGAGAATTTATGTTTCAGGTCTCTACAGAGCATTTGGGCTGAATGTTTGACGACGTCTATTAAACGAGGATGTTATGAAATACATTTCATACCGAATTATTAACAGAGAATTTCTGTGGTGTTATATTATGGATGGGTGCGCTCACTGCACTGGGTCCCTCCGATAGTGGCGAGAACACTCGATGCACGATGCCAACAGTCGGTCGGCGAGTAAATTTATATGATGAATGAGAACTCACAGGCATGTGCGTAGACCAACACAATCTCACGGCAATTCGTAACTTTTTCATTTAGTGACTAATTCGTATGAATTCGTACGATCTAATTCGTACAATTTAGTACGATTTGCTTATCCCCCAATGACGGTTGGGGTTAGGGGTGGGGTCAGGTGCCACGCCTCCTTTTTAAAATCGTACCATTTCGTACGACTGAACTCGTACGAATTCGTACGAATTAGCCACTAAACTGGCAAAACGTAAAATACTTACGTTTTCTCGTGAGATCAGGCTGGCGTAGACATATAATGTACTGCTGTACAGTAACGTGTCATTTATTTTCGGTTTTAGTTTCGGTTGTCTTTATTTTAATGCTCTCGTGATTGATGTGATGGTGTGCTTTATCTGCCTGATTCCCGCTGCAGTGGGCTGGTTGTGTGACGTTTGTTCTGGGGGCGGTGTTTGCGTGACGCGCTGCGAACTACTAGCCCGACAGTGGAAACGCGACATGATTTCAGCCTCAATGCTCAACCTCTTGAGCAATTGGCCGGCCCGGCCTTATAAAAGCCCTGGCTCGCATTGCCCCGACAATGGAAATGCGGCTTTTGTAAACCCATTGGAAACCTGAGTGTTCTAGATGTTTGCAATTTGGTTAGTTACTACGAATTATTGTAAACATACTGCAGGATATTTAAATTAAAATGTAAACGTATATTATCTCAATATATTATTATTAGTATATATTATTTCAAAGATGCACCATGTATTATGAAAACAACAGAGGCCCTAATACAGATGCCTGAGGCACTACCTACCTGACTGCTGTAGATATCTATCTTATGCAAATATGCTTGTGATCAGCACACAAAACTGTCAAATATTTAGCTTATATTGTAATATTCTACTTATATTACAGTCATTAGAAAAACACATTGTAATTGTGCCTAACCACATAGTTATTATGTTCTATATGTGACAATGAAGTAAGCATGGCTAACCTGAGCACAGCCAGGTTTTTTAGAGTCTCTCCAACACGAGGATGCAGTCGACCAAGACTGTCCTCATAAACCTTGAGAGCGCGTTCATACAAAGGCAATGCATCACTGTGCTGCTTCTGCAATGCAAATACACATCCCATGAGTAATATCGTCAAACAAAGAAGCAAGATGGCCGAAAATGAAAGAATTCTCACCAGCTGGCAGTAGAGCACTGCAAGGTTAACCAAAGCAGTGGCCACACTGGGGTGCTTGGGCCCAAAGCTCTTCTCTCTGATCTCAAGAGCTAGTTCATATAAAGGAACCGCCTTTTCCAGCTTCCCCTATCACACAACTTAAATGTGTTAGTTTCAGGAACAGTATTAGAAAGACA